GAGGCTATCATATTGGGGGATTCTTTGTCCATTGTCCTAGAATGTTGCATGACCACCCGTGTAAATTGCTAATTTATTTTAACATGCATTATCTTTTGTTTTGTGTGTGTGCGTGCTGGGCAGAAGGGAGAGATACTGGTGTTTCCATTTTTCCACTTTGGCTACTTTGACCTTGCATGTAAGTAGAAGTTAGAAGCATGGGATGTATTTGAACTGTGTCCTTGTAAACTGCTTTATCATGGTAGTAACTTGCATCGTCTTCAATTTTTTCTCTTCTTTCTTTCTTTCTTTATGACAAAAGAAGCAACTTATCAACCCAATCACTGCTCCAGGCTAAACATGTTCTGTCGCTTATACGCTTTAGCTTTGTCTTATGAGACTTTACTTTTAGCTGGTCTATATAGTTTTTTTTTTTTTTAAGATTAATCACATTATATCATTGTTTTTTATACTCCATTTTATCACTTTTAATGTACCACTTTCTATACCTATGCTTTTCAAGAAACATTCACTTCTGAGATGAGGGTTAACTGTGAGGAGTGAGATCATAGTTAAAAAAGCATCAGACATACTAGTGCGACCAGCTAATGAAATAAATTTTGATGTATCAGGCACAGGATATATGTCTTTCAAATATTATTTCACAGTACTTGCTACAAATCTTATGGAAGTGAGTAAATGGTTTATCTGTTTCTAAACTCCGCAAAAGAACCAAATTGCAATCAATTTTCGCCTTCACATATATGGTTATAAATGCTACAGAAGTAAATTCCAAGATTAAAAGCCTAGTCAAGACGGACTTCTTGCATGATTTTGTATACTACAGCTGCCCAATTTTTTTACTTTTTGCGGAACCAGGACTAACAACAGTATATAGTTTTACAAATTTGGTCATTACATTTAACAATTTTTTGGGTCTACATAGTCTGATGGATTTTATGTAAAGTTTAAACATTGCTTCAAATATCATACCTAACCTTACAGCTCATCAACTTGTTTAGCAAAATTATTCGACATTCTCTTAAATGCTTTACTTTCTAACTTGACATATTTTCCCGTGCATTTCATGAAATCGGTGCCATACTGTTTTTGATTTATAAATAGCGTGGCTTGTTACAAATTTTATACTTTACATTGATGATATAGCTAAATACTAAGTTTCCACAAAATTGAATATACTAGGCTACAGTTATTTCTCTCCTTTTTTCTTTTATACACATTCAATGAGAGGATATTAAGTAGCTTTTGATGAAGTGATAACTGTGCCGGCTAGCATGTTGCCGTTTGGTATATTAGTCTCTTTTAGACTTGCTTTTTATATCCCTATGTCAGTCTGCTTATTTTGTATTGAGTGACCTATTTGAACTATATTGATTTGTTTGTTTGATGTTAGACTGATAGTTTTTTCACCTCTAGCTTATTTGTTTATGAGGACGAAGAAGAAAGATATACCTGTAGAGGAGGAACAACATGCCACTTCTGTTTCAACGAAAGATACTGCAACCCATGTTGTGCAGACATCCGTGTCTCCTCTTCCCATGACAGAGCAAGTGATCAAACGACAGCCAATTCCAGAGAATCAGCAGCGTGAACTATTCAAGTGGATTTTAGAAGAGAAAAGGAAGGTCAAACCAAAAGATCCTGAAGAGAAGCGGAAACTTGATGAAGAGAAAGCTATTCTGAAGCAGTTCATTCGGGCTAAGTCTCTTCCAAGTATCTAAGTGTTCACCACCTAAAGAATATCATATTGTTTGAATTCAAATCGGCTTGAATGAATTTTTCAACGCTTTCCTTTTCTGTTTTAGTTGCTCCATTGGCGATGATGTTCTGATAACGTTTGGGGAGATTTAACATTGATCCATGTACAGTTTCCCACTTTGTCTGATATCTTGCTTTGCTAATGTTTTGGACCATTGGCTTTCTGGTTAGATGGATTTTCGATAAATTGGTGGCGATTAGATGTATAGTAGGAGGTTAGTTGCTTGCTTTGCTGATTAATCACAAGGTAGATTCAGTAGTAACTTAACTCTATAAATAAATTGGTCTATTGTTTCCATTTTTTGTGTAACTGGGTATTCTTAAAAATTTTCCAAGTTTCATCTGTTATTTCAATAGAGCTATGAATGGGAACGAATGCAGTGTGATTAATGTACCTCAATATATAAAACCAGCCACAGGTGAATCTGAGTTCACTGAAAATTTATTCCCTTAGCATCAAATGTTACGCTAATATATGCCAAAATAACATCTTACATTAATCAGCTTCATCACTACACCATTATTGCAGAGATCCATAGCTCACTTTACCTTAATTCTGGCTTTGGAGGGGATCCTGGTCTCTTCACATGAGCGTATGTGTGCAAGGTGGAACATGTTTGGAGTAGTCTAGTCTTACATTTACCTAGAGAAGTCAGGATTAAAAAAAAAAAAGAAATCTGAAAATAATCCTTGGCCACGGGAATCAACATGAGGATGAATAAATGAATATTTTCTCTTTAACATGATTGATTATTTCCAATTTCCCATGATGTGCATATTCTCAAGGTTTGAGCACTGAAACTAGAGATCCACGTGAGCTTAGTAGTGTACAAGCATACACGTACACAATTTCCAAAATGGATGTGGACAATGGTTCTGTGCAGTGCTAACTGGTACGGTTCCCCCAGCATGCAAACTTCCATTACCAAACCAACGACCAGATGCGTCATTTCCGTAAAATATTAAAACTAGCAGATTATGGCCCAAAGTTTCTCAAACTTCAGAGCAATTACAAATAAATCCATTTTCTTTTCTGTACTCTTTAGATGTCGCATGTTACTTTAATAAACATAATTCTCAAAAACAGTACTAGAGCGCGCCGAATAGTCTCCAGTGCCATGATGATATTATTGTATGGACACTGAATTCAGACACTTAAACTAAGGGATTAAAGTTAAGATCATTGGGGGGAGTCAGGGTTTAACTGTGAGGGACAATATTAAAAAGTATATACCCATTTAGTCTTATTTATAAATTATTTTTAACATGTTTAATTAAAATTATGAAAAATTTAAAATTTATTAATTCTACTTAAAAATTTAATTGAGAGTAAAAAGAAAAAAATTATAATAAAAAATTAACGAAATGACTTATAAATAAGACTAAATATTTTTTTCTCTCTTTGCCTTACAAATAAAACTAAAAGAAATATATTACAATGTTTTCATAAATTTTAAGAGAGTTGGAAGTAAATAACACTTATATAATAGTCTGAAAAAATTTCAAAATTTAAGATGTGACTCCCTCTAGTAATAGAAAATACCGATAATCAACAAATGGGCCATTGTGGAATTACCAACATCTTAATTAAAACACAAAACAGAACAGTAGGGACAATAGTCAAAGAGGGATCTGTAAAAGCTTGATCATAGTCGCATGGGGTTACCCCCTAAATGAAATCTCTCCTTGGAAAAGAGATGGTTTTCTTTTAATGAATATGGCTGCTTTCCCGCACATTTGGCTCTCTCATTTGTGGTTGGACCAATTAAAAGAGTATACTAATACTCAATTAGCTTGCTTTAACTCAGGATCATTCAAATAATGACAGATTAATATTTGTAAAGGAGACGCACATGCGGGCATTAGCTAATTATAATAAGATTCGAGACCTAATCCAGTTGTCAAGGAAATCATGACTTCTCATTCCATCAACTTAGACTTAAGCATTAGAGTTTGATTTTTGAAAAAGTAAAATTGAGATTGATTGATATGAAAGAACACGATTGCAAAATTATTTTAAGCAAATACATTACCTTCAAATAAATTTTGGAAGACACTGATTTCAGTTCATGTGAATTTTAGATTAAATAATAGTCATAATCTTCCAAAGTAATTATGATTTTCAAAATTTCTTAACCTAATTGTTATAAAATATGGGCTCTTTCATGTAATTTTTCCAAAATTTTAGAGAGAGAGTGATCAAGATGATGATGGTGGAAGAATGTGGTTAGAGTTATTGAGTCCCACATGAAGGCACGAGGACTCCCAACTCCCAACCTTGCCCGTTGAGGGCTCTTCCATACCTACTTTGCTTTGCACATAAAAAAAGGATAGTTTTCTTATTCTGATTTTTTTAAAAAAATTTTGTTCTCTCCAGATGTATATAAAATATGCATAAGAATAGACTCACTTTATATTTAAGTGTGCAAAAAGAGAATATGACCATTAAACTTGGAGCTAACCACAATTCCATTGAAATAAAAATAATCTCAGCCTATAAACTTTTGAGAGTATAAAGGAACAAGCTGAAACTGTTTGAAAGTTGACAGAATCGAACTCGTGGCTTTCCACGAGTAAGAAAGGACTTAATGTCAATAGGCCATGGAACTATTGACATCTCGACCTATAATCTAAACCTTCATACATAGTTATCACCAAAAAAAAGAAAAATGCTGTCATTACATAGTATTTTACTAATTCTTTTACTGAGTGAAACCTGAATTTGTCCTACGACTGACTACATCTAAAGTTATTTGGCCAAAACCATGGGCAAAAACAGAGGTTTATTCTCCCGCTTCATAGTATCCTATGGAACCTTTGACGGCACATTTACTATGTATAGCCTCCTAGGTCTCCTGTTTGACTTCCATAAGTCGATGCATATATTACCTCAGAAAAAAAAAAAAGTTCCACATATAAAACCAAAGCAGAGGTGTATTATTTATCTAATAAAAGCTACAGTATTGTCAAATATGGTGTCATTCAATGGGTCTATGGCTTGACCATCTAGGAAGCTGTGACAGATAATAAGGTATCACTCTGAAACTGACATTCTCAACCAGATTCTAAGGAGGAAAAACATAAAAAAGATGCTATATTGACCCTGTTAAGTCCTCAACAGTAAAAAGAAATTATCTTCTTTGGCTTGAGAATAAAAGAAGTAGTGAAGCCAATAATCCATATTTGCTTCTCTCATTATGCTTTTCTATTAATTTGTGATATAAATATCCTGCCTTACACTACAGGTTAGCTAAACCCCTACATCTCTGTTTCTATCTCTCTCTCTCCCCGCGTGTTTTCTCACTTGCACGCCTGCACACACATGCAAAATCATTCTTCCATTAAAAAACTGTGTGATTTGTGCGTCCACCATATGATTAAGCGTATTTAATCCAAATCTAGTCGTGCCATAGAGATACAGAACGAGCGTGTGTGCAGGGAAAGGACAATAATGGATTGTATTTGGATTTTGTTTATGACAGTATTTTTTCTCTGGTTCACTGTCATGCTCTACGATAACAGGTTTAAACTCAGATCGAAGTACAGAAATCAGCTTCCTTCAGGCACTCTTGGATGGCCTTTGATCGGGGAAACTATCGAGTTTGTCTCTTGTGCTTACTCTGATCGCCCTGAGAGCTTCATGGACAAACGACGCCGCATGTAAGCTTATTATCATTTCAGAGTAATTCTCAGCTTGATTGTATGACTATTAGTTTCAATAAAGATCATATCTTTCTGGTTGTGCAGGTATGGGAAAGTGTTTAAGTCTCACATATTTGGGAGCCCCGCTATAGTTTCGACCGACGCAGAGGTTAACAAGTTTATTTTGCAAAGTGATGCGAAGTTTTTTGTTCCTTCATATCCAAAATCTCTCACAGTTTTGATGGGAGAGTCTTCTATTTTGCTCATCAATGGAAGCCTACAGAGGAGAATACATGGGCTCATTGGGGCTTTCTTCAAGTCTCACCACCTTAAAGCTCAGATCACCAGAGATATGCATGAGTATGTCCAACAATCAATGGCAAAATGGAGGGATGACAGCCTCGTATACATACAAGATGAAACCAAAAACGTTTGTTCTGTTTCGCTCTCTCTCTGTGGTGTGTCTTATGTCTATCTGATATCTGCCTTTCTGTCCTCTCCCCCCCCCCCCACCCCAAAAAAAAAAAAACACGTGGTGTTGGGGTTAGAGTCTATCTTCAAGGTTTGAAACTTTAGCCTTTACACTCCAAGCTTACGGTGACTTCTTGAGAAGAGTTCCAACAGACAGAAAAAAATCAAAAGATTCCCCCTCTCGCCTTTATTTTTCTTTTGAAGTTGTTTTCTGATTATCATCTTTGATTCTCTTTCTGTCATAATGTTCTTGCATGAGTTGTTGTGTGAAAGTAATCATTGGTGTTTCATGTTTGAGTTGTCTCTCTAACTCTTATTTGAGTTTCAAGATGATATGTAGTAAGTAGCTAGCTAGAAAGTGAAAATTACAGTTGTCTGTATGAAAACGTAATCATTTTTCCATGAATTATAATGAGATTCTCAATCATGATGCCGCATTACTTTTCATTTTTTAAGATCCCCACAAGTACTTTCTCTTTTCTGTCTCCTGCAGATCGCCTTTAAAGTACTAGTGAAGGCGTTGATTAGCTTGGATCTTGGTGAAGAAATGCAGCTTCTGATGAAACATTTTCAAGAATTCATCTCAGGCCTCATGTCTTTACCCATAAATCTCCCAGGGACAAAACTTCATCAATCTTTACAGGCAAGTAGATGCAGATATATTAATTACAGATCACTTCCTTTTACTGTTTCATGGTTGACCAAAAAGTTTTTTTTTTTTTTTTTTTCAGGCAAAGAAGAAAATGGTGAAACTGATACAGAGGATTATCAAAGCAAAAAGGAAGAGTGGAATCTGTAAAGTTGCAAAAGATGTGGTGGATGTGCTGCTGAATGATTCAAGTGAGCAATTAACAGATAATTTAATAGCAGATAATGTGATTGATATGATGATCCCAGGAGAGGACTCAGTACCAGTTCTTATGACTCTAGCTGTCAAATATTTATCAGAGTGCCCTCCTGCTTTGCAACAATTAACGGTATGTCATACCTTCATTTGCATGAATTTAAAAGTGAGGGATTTTATTGTAAAATATAAAGTATCAGAGAGCTTATCTGTAAATCATATAAAGTTAGGGTATTGTAAAATATTTAGTATCGGAGAGCTTATCATAACTTTTTTTTCATTTTTGATGTTAACAGCTAGGGCTAGGGATGATATATGATTTTTTTCAAACTGAATCACTTATTTGAACAATATTAGACTTGTACTTCTTGTATAATTGGTTGGTCTTGATACATTTAAAATTTTAACTCTTACAAAACTTTTCAAATGAAATAAATCTAATTTTCCATGTTGATAAAGGATGGCACTTCATATTATTATTATTATTATCAATTTAATAGATAGATTGTATAAACTTCTCTTCAATTTTATTAAAATTGCATAGTATTCTTTTTTATTTTTAGATATATACGAACTTTCTTTTAAAATAAAAGTATCTTAGTTTTAGATTATTTTTATTTTTTTTTTTACTATAGTATCTCTTGTTTAAATTTTTTTTTTTTGAGAACTATATTTAGGCTAATCGAAAGTAATTTAATAGAATAATATTTACATTTATATAATATTAAAGAATATGATAATTTTTAAAAGAATCTTTTATATTTTAAATGATTTCTAACCGGCCTCACCATGGGGGTATTATTTACCCTCATAAGAGCTTATCCTTGCATTATACTACCAGCACTCATGCAAACTTGATATCCACATTATTAGAAAACCATTTCATTATTTCTAAATGATCAATTGCTTTTGAATGGTCTTCTCTACTCTAGTTATTGTAAGAAAATCTTTGCAATACTATTTCACTTTGAGTAAAAGATCTATAATATCTTGATTAGACTTTTATACATGATTCTTAATTTTAATTTGAATGTTCCACAGGAGGAAAACATGAAGCTTAAGAAACTCAAAGGCCGACTTGGAGAACCCCTAGCTTGGAGTGATTACTTATCATCATTACCATTTACTCAAACTGTAAGCCACATAGCTTCTCATCAAAGACTCTTTACCACCAAAAACATACTGTTTGTTCTCCATGTATCTGCATAAAATTCACACTGTTCACAACATGACACAGGTGATTACAGAAACTTTAAGGATAGGGAATATCATAATTGGGGTAATGAGAAAGGCCATGCAAGATGTTGAGATCAAAGGAAATTTGATCCCAAAAGGGTGGTGTGCTTTTGCATATTTTAGATCTGTTCATTTAGATGACCAAAACTATGACTCTCCTTACCAATTCAATCCTTGGAGGTGGCAAGTAAGCAACATACAAAACCCTCTTCTTCTTCTTCTTCTTCGTAAGGCTTAAACCCTATGGTTTTAATTACTGGTTTGATCAAACGAGTCTAGATAATCAATCATCAACTTTTAAACTATAGAGATCCAATAAGTAAGTGTATTTCACAAACTGATGAAATTGGAGGATTAATAACAGGACAAAGACATGAGTAGTTGCAATTTCACAGCTTTTGGAGGAGGACAAAGGCTGTGCCCTGGTCTTGACTTGGCCAGACTGGAAGCTTCCATCTTCCTTCACCAATTTGTGACTCAATTCAGGTAATTATTCGTCACTTTTTAGTTTCTGAACATACTCATTATTATTCTCTACTTGCTCTAAATTAGGATTCTTTACCTTCCTTAAAAATCCATTGCATGTAGAGAGTGTATGGTTTTTATGTTGGAAACTACTTAAACTTTGGTTTTGGTGGTTTTCAGTGTAAAACTAAACATGCACATAGTGTATGTGGATGGGAATACAGAAAGAAAGAGATTATGGCTATAAAAATGAGACATCAATTCTACACACAGGAATATCTTTTGTGGATTCATAAATACATAAATATAAAGGATCTGATCTGGTTCCACAGGAGCAAAAGCAAAATCACAAGGCATAAAACTTTCTGATTGGAGAGAGAGAGAGAAGAAGTTAATGGGACCAGAGAAAACCCATCTGAATCTGATCTTCTGTGTTAAATTATTTGCATCAAAGTGACAGGTTGTCTTAACCGTGAATCAAACTATGTTGCTTTCTGAAACTGAAACTCACTGAGCTGTAATTCCATGTGAATTCTGACTCACCAAACTACTAAAGGATTTTCAACCATCTTGCCATTCACGAGAAATTTGTAAGTTAATCATATAAAAATAATCAAGCGCATCATATCTCATTAAAGGGAAAAAAAAAAATACAAAAGGCAGTGGCTGTCATATTTACCTAATAAATTTTGTCACCACCACCAGACATTTGGTCCACCTGTTAAGAGAGTTGTACGGATTTAATTAGAAGTCTCAAGTTTAAACTTTGAGAATGTAGTAACTTGGTAGCAGAGCTTCCACTTGAAACAGTCCTGGCCTGGCTTGATCCAAATTAGTTGGGCCTTGCTAAAGTCCCCTTAACTCGACACAGGCTTGGCCTAAGATATCGAGTTATCATGGAGTCATTACTCTCTTTCCAAAAGGTTAATCTATTGGGGTGTGTAGCGCACTTGCTTATATAGTCAGGATCCTCCTCAAATCCCTCTAATGTGAGACAAGACAAGTTTCTCTACTCCAAAAATAAATAAATAAATTTTGTAACTGATCACCACTCAGTTATAAAAGGCATACAAAAAAAGGGATGAATTTGACTGGTCAAGTGTCCCCAAATCTCGGTGTTTGTCTTCTTTCTCATGATTCAGGTTCAAGTGGTTGTTCACAATCTCCAAGCAGCCATTAACAATAAAAAAGAAAAAGCGGTCATATATAAAACTGAAGCGACATATAGTCTATTACGGACAGCTGTATGTTGTAGAGACACAGAATGTTGCTCATATATGTTTGTCTATTGAATGAAACTGTTCTCTCTTACTTTTCTCACCTAGAAGCCGGTTTGCCTGTTGTAAACAAAGATTTTCACATACATACATACATAGCACTCCTTAGGACTAAGGTTTTGGATTCTTAGTGCACATTCTTCCAATAAGATATGGCTTTACAGATGGAAAAAAGATACTCCAAGGTAGTGATCTTAGTCAAAATTGAGTTGATTAGGTCGACAAAAAGCACTTGGAAAATCAGTCAAGCCGCTTAAAACTAGGGATCTGTTAGGTCTGTGTATATAATACACTAATACTATCTTATAGTTCTTAATTTCTTCTTTTCACTTTTCTAAGAACATCTGTAGTAAAGTACCTTGTTTCGAATAGCTTGTTCAAAATAAAGATTAAAAAAATTGTGAGCCAAAAATAAAGATAAAATATTTGTGTATGAATAGTTTTGATTCTTTTGGATATCTCAAAAGTTGAATGTTTCACATGCAGATGGTTTGCAGAAGAAGACACAATTGTTAACTTCCCTACAGTAAGAATGAAAAGAAGAATGCCAATCTGGGTAACAAGAATGGAATCTTGAGGTGCTTTTTTTGGTCAAAGAAGATCATTGGTAATTAACTTCTTCAAAACTGGAACATGTGAATGAAGAAGAAGAGGACAAGTGCAGAAAGAGAAGGGGACAAAGAAGGAAAGAATTGGCTTATGCGAATGAACACACGTGTGGGAAGATTCATTAAGCCTAATGAATTTGTCCCCTAGCCTTGCACCGTTCTCCTACTTAAGGTCAATTTAAACAATAAAATAACAATTAATTAGAGAGAAAGGGTAAAGTTTTCATCTTTTGATGGACCCACCAATTAGTCATTTACTTTTAACCCAATCTTCTTTCCAATTTTACCTTCCTAGTATATGCATAGAGATAATGGAAATGTTGACTGTAAGGGGAATCAATCTCATCCTGTTTCTGATCAAAGTTTCTTTTTCTTCTCTCATTTCTCTTCACACTTTATGTCCTTTTATTCTCTATTTTGCTTTTTTGTTCTTTCTTTTTTTGGGAGACTGTTCAATAGATGAGAATCGAGTGTATGGACAATAATAGCAGATGGGTCCCATGAAATAATGACAACAATAGCTTGGGATTATTGGAGTTAGTAAAGAAGACGACCCACTGCCCATCATTTTGGCCCATCTAGCAGCTTCATTAATATTGATTATTTTTTCATGACTGATTATTTCATCTACTTTGAATCACTCAGTATTTTCAAAATTGAATAACAATATTGATTTGAGTTTTAGTGAAAACAGTGATAGAACCAAGACCTCGAATCAGTGGTAGTAGGGTGAATAGGGGTTTAAAATTATAATTATTGGTGTAAAATCTAAAAATTTTAGAGCATTTTCATGTAATTTTTGCTAGCTCAAGTGATATATGTAATTGCCTCCCCTCACTCCAAGGTGGCTCTTCCTACTCAATATTCTTCAAGAGAATTATGTAACGAGAGTCACCCATTTATTAGATAAAATATGAGATGCAAGATTGTTATACTTAAAAAAATATTGATTCTCAATATTCTCCTATTGAAGGTAATTATGTTCAAGGCACTATCAAACATTAAATATGAACACTTCTTTTAATAAAAATTTAAACTTAGGTTTGCTATATTGCTATATTGTGGGAGGCTTTTTTTTTTTTTTTTTTTTACTAGACTCAACCTCTGACAGTGTATTGATTCTGGTAGTGAATGTCCCTTTAAATATAAAAAAAGTAAAATATTGTTGGGCCTACTAGGATGAAGAATGGGAAACCGTCATGGACTAAGGAGTAAGAAGTGTTAAATGCAAGCCCATTCGTTGGGCTCAAATCTTTCTGCCTTTCCTTTACTAAATTAAGCTTTAGAATTAAAAATACTAAACCAATTTTTTTAATAACTTGGATAGACTGAAATCCAGATCAATAATATGCATAGAATTTAGAAGCCATACTAGTCCGCTATCAATAATATTATTTGAGATATAATTGAGCAATAAACACACACATATATATACACACACCTTTAAACATCAATTTAAACATTAATTTACCATATTGTGAGAGACCAAAGCTTTCTTACAAACCTAATCTCTATCACTAAATTTCTGATTTTGTATAGGTTGATAATGGTTATAATTTTTTGTCTGAAAATATACATTTATTAATAAAAAAATTACAAAAAATGAACAAGAATTAAGATGACATCCTTTCACTATTTGCCACTTCATTTCAGTAAGGTTGAGGTTATTATTATTTTATACAATATAATACAATAATGATAGTTATTTACATGAAAAAATGATTTTATTTAACCAGTTTAGGAAAAATCATAAAAAAGAGCTTCCAAATTTCACGAATAGCCAATCAGAACCATAAATTTATTAAATTACATTTTAGGATTATAGTTCTTTTTGTTGTTTTAAAAATAATAGTTTGATTAAAATTCCCATATTTAAAATGCCAATTTAAAATTTTGTAATGCTGAAATCACTATAATTGAATTAAAAATTTAATTGAAGGGGGTTATCAACACTTTATTTGGGTTAGTAGCCTTTTTACTTTTAGATTTGTAATTGGTTAACTTAAAATTTGCTGGTACTAAAATCACTTTTATTGAGTTGAAAATTTAGTTATTTTTTACTACCTTCAATCCAAAATATAAGCATTTTTTTTAGCTGATCATAGTTTAAAATATAAAAAACTTAGCACATGTAATTTTTTTTTCAATTTTACCTTTTGTATTTATTAACTCAAATATTTATATAAACTTATCTCTTACTCATCATGAAATGTATTGATAATTGAAATTATGAGGAAAAACTGTTTATATTTTAGATTAGAGGGAGTACTTTATTTGAGTTTGGGAATGTTTTACTCCTAACTTGTAAAATTTGTTACCAAACTTGTAATTGGCCAACTTAAAATTTGATAGCAATGAAATCACTTTATTTGTGCTGGAAATTTAGTTGAAGAAGTTATGAAATTACTTTATTTGAGTTAGAAAAAGTTTTACTCCTAAACTCATAATTGACTAACTTAAAATTTGCAAGTGCTAGAATCACTTTAATTGTGATAGAAATTTAATTAAAGGGGTTTTAAATTTATTTTATTTGAGTTGAGAACATTTTTACTCTCAGAATTGCCACAAGCTAGCTTAAAATTTGTTAGAACTAAAATCACTTTAATTGGACTAAAAATTTTAATTTATGAGAATTATAAAATCACTTTATTAACTTATAAAATACTTTACTCTTAGACTTGCAAACTTAGCCATAAGGGGAATTTTAATCCAATTATTATTTTTAAAATTACAAAAAAGAAAAACCATAGTTCAGAAAACTCAATTTTATAATTTTGTGATCTGGTTGTTTAAATTAAAACATTTAAAATTATATATATATATATATATATATATTAAAAAATAGTACTCCCTTCAAACTATAATATAAGTAATTTTATACTTCCTCCGTTCAAAATATAAGGTATTTTTAATTAAATTTTACTCTTCAATAAAATAGTTATCTACTTTCAAACTAATCTTATATTTTTATATCTATCCCTATTAAATATCCTATAATCAATATAAAGTTATTATCAATAGGTGTACTTTTAAAAAAAAAGACAATAATTACACCTCAAAAGACTAAAAATGCCTTACATTTTTTAACATCCAACTTTTCAAAAATGTCTTATATTTTTAAACAACGGGAGTAGAAGTTTTACTTAGTTCAAAATATAGGATATTAGATATAAGTTATATTTTTTTAATTATAACTTATTAAGTAATTAATTAAAGTATTTTGAATAAATTAAATGTTATATTTATTATACTTGATGGCACAGTTATAAAGCAAGATTTTAACTAATCATTTTTAAAATGTAAATTAGTTAATAATGTTTTATATTGTGATTTGAAAGTAAGAAGTAATATATATGGAAAAATTTTATTTAAAATTATTTTATGACACTTAATGAAAAAGAACTTTGAAAATTTAGTTTGAATGAAAAATATTAAAGTGAGATTAAAATGCAGAGTAAAATTATCTTATTGTCTCTCATCTCTTCTGATTTTATATTAAAATTGTTCATTTTTCTATATAAAATTGTTCATTGATCTAGTGGAAATTGTTCATTTTTTTACATAAAAATTATTCAATAATGACACAAATAATTTCTTTAGGTTAATAAACAACTTTATACAATGAAATAATTAAATTGTTTTATCATGATTAAAACACTTGAAATAAAATTAAAATTAAGTAATGACACAAATAACTCTTAACAATTTTAATAGAGAACCAAAGGAGATGAGGAATAATGAAGTAATTTTGCTATGTATTTTAATTTTACTTCAATACCCTAAAATGAATTTTCAAAATTTAAGGGACTTTTTTTTATTATGTGTTTTCAAGAGATCTTAAATGAAAATTTCCCTCTGCATATTATAGACGAACTAATTATAAAACCAAAACTAAATTGCGGTCCAGAACATTGATTTATTTAATTTAAATCGGGTTTTACTTTTTAAACCAAAATTGGATTTTCACGTAATTTAAATTTCAATTGCAAACATTTATTAATGAAAATACTCATTTATTAAGAATTCGAGAGGAAAATAATAAAAAAATACGGATTAATTAATTTAAATTAAATTTTAAGTATCAAATTTTAAAAATTTACAATTCAATCTTTCAATTTTATATTTATTCAAGTTATAAATTCATTATAATATTGTTATAAAATTAAAAAAAATTAAGTTATAAATTTTTAAAGTTTAATATTTAAAATCTAACTTAAATTCAGTCAAAAAAAAATCTAACTTAAATTAATAACTTTTGATGCTTTTCCATTCTTAATCCCAATCAACTCAAAGTGCCTTTGAGGCAGAGCGACGGCAATTGACTCGGCTTTGATCTATGAAATAATTGAAACGAACCGTATTGGGGCACTCGGCAATCCGTTCTGCAGACCAAGTTCCGAAGGTGTAAGGGGACTTCGCCACTTGCCAGCCTGGGTTTTTGATTCCACCTATCCTCGCCGGCGATTACGTTTATCTGTTGGTCTTCGTTTTCTTCTCTGTTCAATCGGAGAAACTCTTCTCAGACACCAAACCTTCAAGGTTTGAAACTCTTCTTCACTCTCTCACTTTAGATTTCAATAAACGCGGACTTGGGTTCGATCTTCTGTTATTTGTTGATTCTTAAGTCTCTCTTTGCATATACACTTTGGATTTTTGCATTAATTCAAATGTAATTTTGTGAGTTTTTATGCGTCTTTTACACACACACACACACACAAGTGTTTCTCTTGCCCTCCGGTCAATGAAACCTAATGTTTTAATTCAAGAACGTGTGATTACATAACTTTCATTGCTCAACAGTCAACAGCCATTCTCTGATAGACGCTAATGTCAAGTATTGATTTCCCCCCTACTCTGGACAAAGATTTCATTCCTTAGTGATTGCAAGTTAATATGCTTGTAATTTTATGTGCGTCTGTCCTTTTAGATAACCTCAAATGTCTGGAAGGAACCGTGGTCCCCGAGAAGCAATCAATGATCGGCGGGGTTACCCACCTGAAGCGCTCTTTATTCCAGGGCTTCCATTGCCCCGCGCACCTATGCCGCCTCATCCGGCTCTATTGGAAGAGGAGCTTGAAATGCAGCATGCAGAAATCCGGAGGCTTGTGGCAGATAATCGAAGGCTGCTTGAGGATCGAATGGCATTTCAGCGTGACCTTGCAGCTACAAAAGAGGAACTGCATAGGATGAATCTTGCCATTGCTGACATTCATGCAGAACGAGAGCTGCGTGCAAGGGAATTCAATGAGAAAAGACAGAAGTTGGAATCTGATATTCGGGCAGCTAAGCCCTTGAAGAATGAGGCTGTACAATTGCGAACTGAAGTTCAGCAACTTAAGAATGTTAACAAGGATCTTGAAGCGAAGGTTCAGACACTTACCCAAGATCTTCTGAGGTTAAAAACTGACAATCAACAAATTCCTATGTTGAGGGCTGAGATCGATGGAATACACCAAGAGCTTTTGCGTGCTAGGTGTGTGGCTTGCTTGCTTATGGGGTTTTATTTTCTGTACACATGCCCTTTTGTGATATATTTTACTGCAAAACTAGTTAATTTTTAATAAGGAAACTTTTGTTTTCCAGAACCATGGTTGATTATGAAAAGAAAGCAAACATAGAGATGATGGGACAGAGACAGGCAATGGAGAAAAATTTGGTTTCCCTGGCTCGCGAAGTTGAGAAATTACGTGCTGAGTTATCTAGTTCCAATAGCAGACAGTGGGGTGCTGGTATGATTTGCTTCTATTCTCTCCTTCCATTTCTTTCTCTTGTAGCACTTTGATGATCCTCTGCTAGATATATTCTTGTTTTGTATTACTCGGTAATACGGGTTGTAGGAAGAATAATAACTTTTGTTTCTTTTCTCTTGTGAGAAAATTTCATATTATCCCAAGTTGTAAATTGTTAAGGGAAACTGGAAGAGCTAGGACAACATATAGTATAATAGTTGTAATGTTGTATGCAGTAAAAGAATAAATAGAGAGGGTTGATGGGTGGAGCACCATGCACACTTAAAACTATTAAAAAGTTTGGTACTGTAATAAAATGTTCAGAATAATTGTTTACTTATTTACTATGAACTATGAAGACCCAAAAAGATGCACATCACTAGTTATGTTGAAGCCTTAAATTATAACCCTGAAAATTAAAATCTTTGATCATAAATAAATAAACATCCCCAACCTATGCTAATACATAGTGCAGGAATATTATTTTTATTCTATTGTCCATTATGTTTTTTATTTAAAACTTTTGATTCATCATTGATCAAGGTGGGACGTATGGGACGAAGTTTGGCAGCCCTGAGGGGCGTTTTCCTGCTCCATATGCTGATGGATATGGTGATCATATGGTATGTTCTGCTCTAAATTATGATTTAGATCCCCACTTCTTTTATCGGTGTTGGTTTCATGATATGTATGTGCTGCTGTACAGGGAGGCACTTCATGGGGACATCATGAGAAGGCTCGCATGAATCGTCGTTGAGGTCTTGGGATTGCTGTTGGAGATGAAGAGCAGCTTTCTCCGTCACTCTTTGAGTTTCAGTCAAGGAATGGCTGAAACAACTTATTAATCTATGTTCACATCACTGGTCATTTATCTGAATATATTGTTAGTTCTAAACTGGCATATATAGGTTTTAGAGTTGCTTTGCTTTTACCTTAATGTTTATCTTGCTGCAATATATCTGAAATGTTACTGTATTATGATGGATTTCTTCAATATTATCTGTCTTTTATGGGTTTATATTTTATCATTTGCATCATTATCTTACGTTTTTACTTTCTCTCATATATTCTGTTATAATTCTTGGATTTGGTTTAAGTCTTTGTTTCCTGATGGGCCTCTGGAACTGGATAGTAATATAAGTGCGTGGAGGTGCCATTAATCCTGTGCTCTGAATCATGTGGCCAATGTTCAATGTATGACAAGTTTGTCATGCTTGCAGATCAGTATCAGAAGACTCCATATTGATATTTAAGTTTGTACTCTACTTGTCAGTACTTCTTGTGTCCTGCCATTGCGCTTCAATGAGTGCTTATGTTCATGAAAAGATTATGAAAAGGGTGATTTTGGAACTAGTCCTTTCATATGGAGTGGTTGATAGTTGAAAGATCATATCTTAGTGATGTGATCGCTACCTGTAGAATATTGGTGCAAAAATTATTTTAGGCTATGCTTTAAACTGAGCGAGTATTTAGATTTTAGGCAGAGATTGTGGAGCATGTTCTACAACAGGTTAGAATGGTAGATTAACATGCATATCCAACTATTTTGGGATCAGATGGATTTGTGAGAGCCTAACATCCAGTGCTGAGTTTTTGTGGCTGGTGATTATCATTTGACAATTGCATCTGTGCTTCTGCAACTAGAAAGGGAGGCACTGAATGTGCAAGATAGATGGAGAGATCAGGAGTTTCAATGACTTTATGTTGCTTATATCTTTTGGTCTGTATATAGATGTAAATAATAAGTTGTGGACTTTTCAGAGAAGATTTATGTTTTAGGGTACATTATTTGGTTCTGGGAGAGATATTTGTGTTTGTGGTGGTTGCAGTGCAAATACAGTATGTTTAGATTCCAAAATACATAATTATTCTTTATTCCTTATGCTCCCTGCTCCCTATTAAGTTGCCAATGGTAACTACAGCATTTTGCTGGCATGGAGCATGTATGTTGCTTTTGCATTGAAGTGGTGGGTGTTGTTATTGGTGGCTTTCAGTTGAACTGTGCAACTGTACTGTGTTTTCTGTGAGGAATGGAGTATTCTGTAATGTTGCTCCATCAATTGAGGGTTACCAGCATTTGGGTGGAGAAGCTACAGTTACAAGGTATTTTGAGTTACTGTTTGGTCTTTCCATCAGACACAGTGTTGAATTAGATTTTGGAGGCTGTACATTGGTAAACAGCAGATTGAGATTGATGTAAGTGATGAAGTATTGTTTTGGTTGAGCTAGTTTCTTGAAAATGCCCTGTTTTGCCAATCGCAATGGTATTCTTGTGAACAATTCATTTGAAGTTGATATTGGTTGATTTGTGAGTGATTGTAAGATGGGATATCAAAGGTAGCAGGAATTTCTACACCGTCATAGAAATTAAGTGGGATGTTATTAGTTTTTATCACCTTATCAATTTTGAAGGAGAATAACAGCCCTTTATAGTTTATATGTCTCATACTGTCATGAAGCATCTCATTCTTCATATTGTATGAGCTGCCGATGTTTCATTGGTGAAGACTCTCCTTGACTTGCAAGTTTCCCCCATGTTACTAGTAACGCTGAAATATCTGAAGAAAGGATTGTGGACCAGCTGTATGTCTCAAGGCCAGCAGCTGATTTGAAGCTCATAGGCAAGTACTCTGCTTCTCTTTAGCGGTCTGACTGATGTAACAAATAGACTTTACTGTGTTACCCTGTTGATTGCCTTCATGTAAGGTTTAGCAATTAGCATGTTGCTTAGTCTCAACTGAATGGGCTGTGGGAGTGATCATCTTCGCATTTTGCTCCTAGTGATTTCATATAACCTTGAACTTGCTTTAGTAGTTAGGAATCTGTAATTATAACTTAACAAGACAGCAGTCAAAAGTTAATTGAGACCTTTGATATCATAATCCAGAAGTAGTTGAATTTTTTCCATAGCTGGCTATGAGATTGCCGATCTTTATCATTTTGCAGTAAAGCCAACTTTAGGAATAATAGCCTATTCTTTGGTTGTCAGGATAACATGAGATCTTGTTGGATTCTTAACACATTGTGCATTTAAACCCCTATAAGCATCTGAATCTTTTCCATTGCTGGCTATGAGATTGCCATTCTTTATTATTGTGCAGGAGAGCCAACTGTCGGAATAGCAGCATACCCTTTGCTTGTTAGGATAACATGAAATCTTGTTGGATTCTGGACAAATTATGCATTTAGACCCCTATTATCTGAATCTTTTCCATCGCTGGCTATGAGATTGCCATTCTTTATTATTGTGCAGGAGAAATGACTGAAGGAACAGCAGTCTATCCTTTGCAAGTTAGGGTAAATGTGAGATCTTGTTGGATTCCTAACGCATTATACAATTAGACCCCTATTTTTAGTTTTCTGGACTCTTGATGATTGTTTTTCCTAGCATTTAGACTCCTATTCTTGACACAGTAAGGGATTTCTCTTTCATAATTTAGAGTATGTTCAGACTTTAATTACCTGATACTGGTGGAGAATTCTGATATTAGTGTAATGGGCCAGATTTTTGTACTACATGGTTCTGTTTCTTGTTTCAATCGCACTATCCTATTTTTGTTGAGAATTAAGTGAAGTATACAAAAACAACAATAACAAGCCTTATCCTACTAGGTGGGGTTGGAATTAAGTGCAGTATATTGGAAATAAAATCAGTTGCTGCAAAGGCTGTGTAACAGCTGCTAGACTTCGTTGCTTTTCACTTGGAGCTAGCTGGAAAATTGTAGGATGGTTAAACTTCACTTACAATATTGGTCCCTTGTTAGTCTTGTTGATATGAGCAAGAGGAGTTACCAACTGATTTATGTATATAAGGCAATGTATGTTTACCAATGAGATGTTAAATGCATGCTTGCTTGTGGATCTTCTGTGCACCTGTTCAACTTTGATGCATTTGAAGCTTGGATTGGTTTTGTTTCCAGTGGTGGCGTACTGTACTAGTTGGTATTGTTGTTTTTCCATTGATGAATTTATTTGGAGACTAGTGCGATGAAAAGCATTAAGCATGATGCCAGGGGGTAAAGGAGCAATAGAGTATTACTGGGGCTTGCTTATGTAGCTCTAGGTTTTGAAGCTGTCTCTTTTGCACTTCTAGTTAACTCAAGTTCTATGACTGAGTCTGTTTTCTCAGATATTAATCTGTCAGTGCATATAAGTAGCAAATTCTATGGTTAACAATCAATGCCACTTAAATTAGAAAATTCCCACTTCACAAATGGATCTTCTGAAGAGAATTGCATTAGCCGAATAGGAATGATGGATGCCAGAGGGCTTGGGTGCAGAAGTTAAATTATAGTATATTGGAATGCTAGTTCTTGTAAATGTTCAGAAGATTGGTTCGCTTGTTATAGAAATGGTCCCTGTATGTTGTTTCTTTTCTTATGATGTTTCTTTTGAATGTATTTATAACATTGCCTTTCATGATCTTTCCCTTCTTTGTCAAGTTTGGTTCTTCATGGAATATTCCCATAGAACAATCTGTACCATCTTATATTCAAGTTACCTGCCTTGTATGTTTTATCTAATATTTGTTTAATGCGGCTGCAGATTGGATGCTTGGAATCTTGTCAAGACTGGTGGCCTAGAAAAAAGCCTGTGTCTTTTTTACGCTACTGGGGGAGATAAATTTCTTGAAGACCAAAAGGCTTTTGATTATTTCGGGGAGCAAAATCTGAAGATGCTTATTCCGGGATGAAAATTTGTCAAGAGCCCATAGAAGGGTATGTCTTGCCTGGTAGCGATGGAGTCGTGTAAAAAATAACAAAGGAAGACCGCATGGTATTTTATTGTTTCAAGGAGCGAATTCTGATCATGCTGATTCGGGAATGAAGAATGATCAGCCATGTTGTTCAATCATGTTTTGCCCACTGGTGAATGGTGAGGAATCACTTAGGAAAGAGACAAAAATTATTGTTTGCAGGAAAAAAAAAAAGATCCAAGGGTTACATATACGGGGATGAAAATGTTTTTTTATCACGAAGGGCAATCCTTTTCATTAAGACTGGGTCTCCTGACCGCCATTTTTGCAAGGATACATAATTTTTTTTTTTAATAAAATAAATTTTAAGTGAGATAGATTCCCAGAAGTGATCGAAGCTGGGGCGTGCTTCTGGATTCGAAAAATGGTTGTTATTTATTGATTGTTTACCGATAATATTTGTTTATCCTTTTCTGTTTTTCTTTGTTTTTGTTTTGTTTTTTGGGGTAGTATTCTCTTATCCTTTATTAGCGTAAAACTATAGATTTTTTTCCCCAAGTAGTGGTTTGTATCTTTTGGTGCTAGGCATGTAGGTATCTCCGTCCAACTGCATTCGGTTTCAGGATTATAATCCCTGAATCTTACCTAACAATAAGGAGAAATACATTCGTTTGTAATTTAACGAAGTTTGTAAAGGAGTTTCTTATTAGGTGTTCAGTCGGTTGTACAAACACATATTGGGGTCTTCGGCTTATTAATAAAAGTAGTAATTTCCACGTCAATATTTTTTCGGCCTGATTCAAAACCAAGTGGTTACGCGCGATTCCACTCCCAACTCAATACTTTTCGACCCAAAACAATTGAATGAGATGGTGGCATGTGTTATATATATATGTATGTATGTATGTATGTATGATAACAAAGGAGGGAGCTAGCCCGAGGTTAAAATTCAAGGAGGTTGGGAATTTATTCCCATAACATTATGCTGAATCATAGCCCGTAAGAAAATAGGGGCAGTATCAAAAATTCTAAAAACAGAAAAACCATGTTTAGCTAACATGTCTGCAGCACTGTTGGCTTCCCTTGGAAACGTAAATGAAAATCCTCCCGAGCTCCTAAAATATCTCTAATTTCCATGTAGATGATGCTTCCCCTGACATGGTAGCAATTTTAAAATGTAGCCAAAAATGAAATCGTGAAGGCAATTGACTGAAAGCAAGCAGGCATCAAGGAGAGCATAAAATGGCTCCCAAAGTTACTGGGAAAAAAAAAAGAAAAAAAGAAAAGATAACTCAACTATTATTCATCTCTGTAGTTTTATTTTGTTATTGGTTCTTGTATTTTTTTACATCCTGGGTCCCAGTGTTTTTTATATGCAATATTAATTCCTCTACTATTATATATTTTCATACAAACAACAATGTGACACTAACAATATTAAATTATCTAACTTATAAATGTTAAAATAAGAATGAGGTGGCAATCTAATCAGCAAATTGAAATAAAAAAACAAAGAGAAAAAAAGGGGAAGATGAAGGCTTAAACGATAAGAAGACAATGCACGCAACTTATAGGCCATTTGATTTGGTTAAAAAAATTGATTAGGATATTTGATGCATAGAGGTAAAACCGTAAAAGGCCTGCTCTATAGTAATTGGGTATCACACGCTGTCAAACACCGTCACTGGACTAATCTTTGTCAGAAAGCGATCTGTCGGCTCATCCTAATTTTAGCATGTCAACATCTTCATTAACACTATTAATTACAAGTACGATAATTTAACATAGTGCCGCATCATCGCCCCTCCAAGAAAATAGAAACCGACATTGCATGCCCAAAAAACTAAAAAAAAAAAAAAAACTGAATAACAAAAAAAAAAAATACAGGAAACACAATAAAATCATAAAGACCAATATGTTTTCCCAAAATAGAATGTGGCAAGATGAATAGAAGACAAAAATAAGATAGGATTTGAACCTCGAATGAAAAGAGTTACAACAGGAAAACTATTCTCAGTTGAACTCAATAATGTTTGAATCTGAAACAATAATGCTAAAATATTATACAATTGCATAAAATAAACTGAATAAGAAAAATACAAGACCATGGATGGAAATAAAAACCCATGGACTTTGCAATCATCGCATGCTCACGAACATTTTGGCTGAGCCAATGTGTTTATCACATGGCGGCGTAGGCAAAAATAACATCAAATAGCTTTGGGTTACCTTGAGCAGGGCATTTGCCGCCAAAGAGGTTTCCTGCTGGAGTGACTTCCGAGATAGGCATTTGGTCACACAACATTCCCTTTAAATTTCACCAGTTGCGATCGACATTGGAGTTGTAGAATCATACAAACATTAACAAACCCGGTGGAAAGAAAAAGCCTCCACTCTTAAAGTTTATGGTTGCCTGGAAGTTGCCAGAGTATATCTTCAACTTCGGTGTTGAAAATGAAGCTAGTAAACACTGTGGTGATCTCCTGGCCAAGGGTTACCAAAAAAAAAAAAAAAAAAAAAAAAGGAAGAGATAGAATTCAGTTCTTGACCACGCAAGCCATTGTATAATATAAGGTGAATTACTCTCTTCTCCCTAATAAATACCAAAATTGCATTGTTCTCCCCTCTCTTGAAAAACAAGTCTCTTCCCTTAAAATTTAAAGATATCTTACACTGATCTTCCTTATAAATTTCAACTATTTTGTCAAAAACGTCCTTATGTTTATTCCTTATTGAGTCTACATGCTGTCAGAAGACAACTTTTATGCACTAAAATTGTGAAAGGAGGGCCACACAAAACAGCAAGATATAAATTATATGCTTTGAGTGCCAAACAAGTGGTTAACATTTTCCATTCTGCCTTTAATTTATGGTATCGTAGAGGTATCTTTCAAAACATAACTGTGACTAACAACTAAGCTGATGATTCACGGAAGCAATTGGAAGGATTTTTTTTTCCTTTCCTTTTTTCTCTGGTTTTTTTTTTGTCCTGTGTCCTCAACTAGTCTATCTGCATATTTTCGCCATTTTTTGGGGCACAAACGGATACTTCTGCCTTGATTACTGATTAGGAAGTACAAACCATTGAATTATAGAAGGAAGCAATACTCCAGAATGTTCCTCTATTTCCCAAAAGTCATTTTTTTTTTTAATCAACAAACAACAATGACAAAATGAATTATCAATTATGACAATTGTGATGGTAACTGAAATTAATGTAGAAGAGGCAAGGCGTGAAAGTAATTACTTGAGACTAGGAAGAGTCATGTAATTCAATAGTGTTGGGTTCCGAAGGACAAATTCCTTCCATTCTTCTTTATTAATCTTACCATCCTTGTCAGCATCAGCATCTAGAAAAGTCTGATAAAGAATGGCACTGTAAGAATCAAAACTCCAATCGAAATAGGGGGTGAAAAAGAAAGGGGGAAAAAATGCCTTATCAAGAATAGCTTCAAGAACTTTGTCTTCCAGTTGCATCCCACATTCTGACATGATGGCAATCATCATTTGCCTAACCTGCAATATGTTACAGGAGAAATATAATATTTCAGATGGTCATGGTCAAATCATGACTTTTATGTTAAACAGATACGATTTTTAAGGATATCACAAAGAAACTACCACCTTTCTCCACTAAAGTGATCAAATCAAATTGACTCTGTGCAAAGAGAAGTCTATAAGTACATGCTTGATTATGCATTATTATCCCGCCATAACCTTACAAACTTAAGTCAATAACATCTGCCAAACCTGGAAACCTCAAGATACTTACTTCTTCCCGCTCAATATATCCTGTTTGTCTCAAGTCATACAATTTAAAAGCAACTGCAAGCAAACCAGAAGAGACAACAGAAATGTATTAATATAAAAAGTAGTAAATTGGATCACACGAAGAAAACAACTAAGTGCAGATGTGCTTATTGAAGTCTTACAATCAATTTTCTTTTCCAAGGGAGCAGCAGGATGAAAGACACTAAGAGCATGGATGAATTCATCAAATTCTATAACACCATTCCTTTTCTCATCAAAGAGATCAAATACCTGAAAAAGAGTCACCAACAAGAAATGGACTCAATCTTACAAGTTCAATAGGAAGAAAGTCATAGAATATCAATCTATCCAACTTGAACTTCAAACCAAGTATGTAGCTCTGAGTGTGCCAGAGAGCATCTTATTCTGAAAATGAATATTTAACTATGATAGTCTTATTTGAATAATGTAGTGTATGTTGTGTGTGTGTGTGTGTACATATAAATATATATATCTATTTTTGAATAATATAAATGAAAGTTATTGTTTGTCTAACTTAACAAAAGACAAGGAGAAAAACAAAAGTCAAGACAAATCAGGAGAATAACAAGAAGCAGACTCTATGATAGTCTTATTCAGACGTAGGATTAGAAGAAATGGAATTAACGGAGAAAATTTATTAGATGAATGCAATACATTCAGCAGAATAATTACTCAAGGGATAACATAGAGACTAAGGGACCTAGCTGTCCCTACGTTTGGTTTGTCTCCACATCACATCTGTCCCTTGTGTTTCCACTGCATTGAGAATAGCCATCACCCTAACACCCCAGCATAGAGGTCTAAACTATCCTTACGTCATGGCCATGCTTATCATTCTCCTTCTTTCAGCCCAACTCAGCAAAAAATTCAGGGACTTGTATACCCGTTTGCTGCTCAATTTTATACTCCCTTTGATTCAAAAAATAAGCATTTCTCCTCAGCTAATCTTGGTTCAAAATATAAGTAACTTAATACATGTAAAAGATTTTTTTTCTCATTTCACCCCTTGTATTTATTAACCTAGATCTTTGTGTAAATGTATCTCTCATTCATCATGGAGTGTATTGGTAATTGTGACTAGGAATTAAAAAAAGGAAAACAATACATATTTTTTATGGGAATGACAACTTTATTGGTATACAGATTTTCCCTAAAAATTGCTTATATTTTGGACCGGAGGAAGTAGAAACCTGGAGGACATGGATTAGGCAGCATAGTCCAAGAGAGAAAACTAATGGCAGAGAATTATGGAAGCCGTCATCCCAAGCAAGGAGGAAGAAGAGATTTATGCGCTAGTATTCCACAGGTGAAATAATACCCAGCAGCAATCTCAAATAACTTAATCCCGCTAGGAACTGAGGTTCCTCCTTTGGTAATAAAATGCCAACAAATCGCCCCATGATAATAAGTCCTGTGCCACAAGCATGAAAACTTGCGCCCCCTTCAGAGCATGTTCTTTTGGATCCAAATCAATGTTCTCTTGACCGGAATATTTCATTGAAATTTCTTTCTCGACGCTAGAACTCATCTTACAAACAGTTCTGGAATTCAACCCTTCTAATTAAAATTCCACGCACATGAAAATCACTAAGAGAAATCTTTCAGAGTTTCTTGGCATTTTTACATTGATTTATTTTATAAGTTAACTCTGAACCAATATATACTTCCACGATCATGTAGGTTTTGGAAAGGCTGTGGGGACACAGTGACCACCTCCATGATGGAATCATGTAATAGGAGTGACATTGTTTAAAGTAAGTAGAGGCACATTGGACAGGACGGGGAGTGGAGACAAACTGAACGCTCTGCCCACTAACTTGATCTCTTGAAAGATGGGTCCTTGCAAATTCAAAGTTCCCCTCATCGATACATTAAGTTTAACAAACAAAATAAAAGAAATAGGATAAAAATTGTCAGGATGAACATACCCTATCAAGGAACAGGTTCTCAACAGATGATGTTCTCAATAGTGCCAATCTAAGCTCTTCCTTCAGATGGAAAACAAAGATGAGTTAAAGAAGGCATTCTGATAAATAATTTCAGCACCAGTGTTTTAGCAGCCAACATTAAAAAATAAAAAATTCATTTCTATAACCATGCGCAATCTTAGCACCAAAAGCACTTCCAATCTAAAGTGCTATTGTCACATCTTTACTTCGAAGTCCACATTCATGTTCAGGTGGCAAGCATCTCATTGTAGAATTTTTCAGTTAGCACTACGCCCTGCATTGTCATAATGTTTGCATCAATTGTTTCTATAAACAGAGCAAATCCCAACAGTATACTGCTCTATATCAACATTGTTATACATTAAAACGAATCAAATTTTATTCCCATATCACCTTTGTAACGAACTGAAAGTTCCATGTGAAATGTTTCACACTGCCTGGACCATAAATGGAATAGTCATCAATTGGTCCATGAAAAAAGGGCATTGCAGTTAGGTATAAAACTATACGACCAATCTGGTGGACGGATGGCAGAAGAGAGAATAGGAAGAAAAAGCTAGAGCTTATTACCAACAGTCTAGTACACTGGCAACGCGCCAGAAAAAGTAATCAATGGCAACCTTAACTTAGGGTAAAGACTTCCCCCAATATTTTAGGACACTTCAAAAGTAAGCAGATAATACAATCTGTTTATGGTTGTCACATTTTGTATTAATCTGATGCGATCAATTTCCCGAGTGGGGACAGCTCTAAATGTTCTGCATCGTTCTTCACAAATTTACAAGCTTTGATTTTTTTAGTATTTTAAAGGCAAACTCCCTTGAAGCTAAGCAGATGGAATAAGCCAGCATATTCAAAGGTGAAGTCTATAAAAATTCCAGTTACCTTGTGTATGAGGCCATCATCAATGATTGAACTGCTCAACTTCTTGTATAATTCACGCAAAGCCTCAATTTCATTAACAGAAACTGCACGAACACCAGGACAAAATTGTAAGAAGCAAAACATCTAATCCAGTCAGTGAAATCAGAGAAAGCGACGAACATGGAGAATTTCTAGCGAGAAGGACTAAATCGTCGAACGCGGAATAGATCTTTTTCTTGGGAGGCTGGACATTGAAGCAACCGGACAAGCTATAAACCAAAGCCTCAAATAATCCTACGAATGGTATGAACACGAAACAGAGTTTCTCCCCAATTGTCAAGCTCGACCTTGGATCCTTTCCCCATTCACCATAAAAAAAACAAGAAAACAAGAGAGAGAAGCATTCAGTATAAAGGATTACCCTTAAAATCCGGGTTAAAGTGATTTGAATAAAGGATCGATGAGGTTAAACAACCAGAAGAATTACCCTTTAAGCAAACGTAAAACCTTGATGTGAAAAAGAAAAAACGAGAAAAAAATAAAACACAATCAATTGAGAGATCTTTGATCTCACCAGTGAACTCCTGCTAAAATTCATGTCAGAGAAGCATCGGAGATTTTCCCACGAGAAAGGCATTCAGAGCTGAATCACCGCGAAATTTTGGAACCTCTTATGTTGTTCAATAGAGGAAAAAAACATAAAATGAATCAATGATTGAAAATTGCTACGTGCCACATGAGGCTGCGAATGATAGTGATAATTACAAAATTTAGTTTTTTGGGGCCACCGACCTTTAAGGACTTATATTCATTAGCAAAAATTAGTAATAATCAATCAATTGAGGCTATGATTACAGTTGATGGATTAAATAAATTAGAGGACGAGAACGAAAGGATAAATCTGATGTGGAAGTGGAACCTAGCGGATTGGACTTTGGATCCAATAACGTCAGGTGATTCATGTCCACGCGGCTGTATATAGTTTACGTGTGGCGAACCCACAATCTGTGGGTTGATCATCTCCGGGAAGTAACTTCAAACAAAGTCAACAAAAAAGAATACTATATATTTTTCTAAAATTTTAGAGAACAGCGACATGTTTCATTTTGATTTGTCTTTCTCTTCCTTTAATTATCATAATTATAGCGATAACTTGTGCATTACAACATGTCAATGTTTTTTAATTTTTGTTGACACGGGCTTAATTAAGGCTCGTCAACATATTAAAATAATAAATTACAATTATCATTATCAATAAAATTAAAGGAAAAATAATATTCAAGGACATGAAGGTATTTAATATCAATTAAGGATTATAAGTATCACTACAAGATTAGAAAACTGATTTAAGAAAATTTTAAATAAAAAAACCAATAATACTCTCGCCTTTATTTTTTTAATTGACATTGACAAATAGTCATTCATAAATTAATTAGTATCCATTCATATTTAATAAAAAATTATTTATTAATTGACAAGTTTAAAATTGGTTGTGGGAAGGGATAAATGTTTTAACAAATAACAATTGGTTAATTAACAAATATTTATTCATATTTAATAAAAAAAATCTTTTACTAATTGACAAATTCAATACTTTAAAAGAATTTAATCATGAGAAGAGACAAATGTAAATTATGTTTTAAAAGATAACCATTTGTTATTTAACAAGTACCAATTTAGATTTAATAAAAAATTATTCGTTAATTGGCAGGTTCAAAAATTTGATTGTGGAGAAGGGTAAATATATATTATGTTTTAATAAGTAGTAATTCAGTAACAAATAAGTACCCACTCGCTTTTAATAAAAAAATATTCCCTAATTGACAAAATATTTTTTTTAAAAAAATGCAAATACTTTTCTCTAATCATACTTAAAATAAAATTCTAACATCATATTAAAGTTTGAGATCAGTATAACTATTTTTATTTATGTATTAGTAAAGAACAGTCATATTATCATATTATAACTTAATTGTTATAATGTGATTAAAATTTGTAGAAACATTATAATTCTCTCCAAATTTTTTCAAGGCCAAAGAGATGATGTGTGGGCGGGATGGACAACCTATTGCCATCGTTGTCTGGACAAATATCATGAGCCATCCAATCTTACATATACTATTCCATATTTGTGGATAAATAATTTAGACAAATAATAAATTAATTCCAATCATAAGTATAAGAGCTAGTTGACTCATTCACATAGATTAAGAAAATTAAATAAGCTAGATATACTTATCCTTTTAATCATTCACAGTATAACATTACCAACTTAGCTCATGTATATCACAAATTTAGGGGATATAATGAAGACATGAGACAAAGGATATTAACGTTTTACATTTAGATGCAAAATTTAAAACTAGCTTGCATATTTAGAACCAGAGCAAATATGTAAAGTTGTTTTTCACTTCAAAATGCAAAACATGAAAAAGGATCTCACATGGGGGTTTGTTAACTCTTGTCCATATATAGTTATAATGTTATTTCTGTTTTACATTTAAGATTGGGGCAAAGTTTCCGTTGTGGTTTTTTTTCCCCTCTTTCTTTTTTTGGTGGGGATCAGAAAGGTTCTAATTTGAATCTAGTAGGTTGTTGTTGGATGGAAATTTCTCGATGCTTTGCATATGGAGCCTCACTTATCTTCTCTTCTCCCTTTGCCCTATGCAACATACTGAAAAAAAATTCGCTAACAAAGATAAGGAGTTAGCCTACAATCTACAAGGTCATAAAATTAAATCTTACTATTGTTATAAGAATCTTGTTAGTAAGAGATTTATGAATAACTATATATATATATATATATATACTTTGAGTATTAATATATATTTTGGTTTTGGTGAGTTCTTGTGAATCAACTGACTTACTTTTTAAAAAAAATAACAAAAAAATGACTAATTAAAGTTGGCTTGAAAGTTAGTGTTCCCAATCTAATTGAAAAAAGTCTACCATTTGCTATAGTATTAAGGAAAATAATTTATACTATCAACAGAGCTTACTTCTCATGCCAACTGATGAAAACAACAAAGAGATTGATATATTAACAAAAGTTAGTTTAGTTGGTACTAAAAACTTTTTAATATATATGAGTGCTCTTTTAACTTAGGTTAGATGGAGGGAAAAACAGAGAGAGAATATGGAAAAAAGAAAACTAGTAAGAAAAATTTTAAACAATAATGAATATTTTTATTATTTTTATGGCTTTATCCTCATAGTTTTTTTCTTTTATATTTTTTTTCTCTATGCAAACAAAACAGAAGTATTTTTGAGTATTCTTGTACAGCTTATTTGCGCCAACTAGTAATGTTGTACAAGAATTGTGTTCTAACCAAATAATGCAACCAACTTGTTGTATATACAAGAATTGTGCAGTAACCAAATAATGCAACTCACTTGTTGTATAATTTTATGTGGCCACTTAAGATTGTTGATTAGGCTATTGTTGGGCTGTTGGCCTACTCATAGCAAAAGACATGGATGAATAACATCTATCACATGTTAGTGTACATGTGGTTGCATAGAAGAGTTATAAAGATGGATAATTATAATCTGATACATTTTATCTTAGTTTAATTTCTTCGCATGATTAAGATTGATCTCATTTATTATTTCTATTAAATTTATTATAATATTAATGTGCATGTTATTGGTGGACCTGCGAGTCATCATAAAAAAGGGACCAAATCTTTATTTGACCGAGCAAAATATAATAGTAGGAACACTATCTCAGAGTTTCCAAAGGAGACACGTGGGCAAGCTGGCGTGGGCCCTGTCCTTAGTCGTTAAGATGGGCGTCGCTTTGTGATTTGCCGTCCCCACGCCGTTAGTGTGGTCTTATCCGTATAATAGTCCAACACAATCTCCATAGAGGAGTGGTTGGAATTGTGGGACCCTATCACGAAAAAAATAAATACAAGAAACGTCGCCGTACGCTCGAGATCTTCGTTGTTGTGCGCGTCACACCCCAAACAGACCTCTTGCTTCCACAGGTGAACTCTTTTATTTCTTCTCTTTCATGTGTCACTTGCGATGCAACAAGCACAAGATTCACAATCTCTACTTGGTTGATGTGAAGCCTTGATTCATCATTTAACTCGGAGCACCTTGATATGTTGAATCTTGGTATATTTTTTTATTAAAATAACAACAAACACTTTTCATACAATTTATTTATTTTATAAATATACCCATCAACTTTTAAAATTACATTAGATATGAGTATTTTGGATAAAGTTGGGTCAACTCATAATTCTAAAAATATCTCTGAACTACTTATCAATACCTAAATTTAGTGATTGGCCCCAAAAAAAAAAAACCTAAATTTTGTGGACTTTCCAACATTGAAATTAAAATGTTGTCTCAACTCTCAGCGAATCGTTGGGCCCAAAAAAAAAAAAACACTCTCAACATGTACAAATCATGAACACTTTGTTTGGGTGGCCAATACTTTGCTCACGGCTTTACAATAGCATTCATAGAAATCACTCAAATGAGATAGAAGAGAATGGGGAGCTCTATTAACAACCAAACGCATATATTCTTATTATGGTGGTTAACAACCAACCATCGTGTATACTTAAAAAGAGTTTATTGTAGAGTTAAAATGTTTTTTATTCTCTCGAACTATTTCACAATAAGTATCGATTATCCTAAAATATCTATTAGAGTAATATTGCCTTCCAAATATTAAAATCATTGTATGTTAAAATCATATTTAGGATGTCACACACGACTTGCCCACTCTTCATCAACAAAAACAAGTCTATCAACTTGTATTAATGATTATGTTGTTATAGGTTTTATATATATATATATATAAAAAACGGGCACGCGCGTATTGTTAATGGTTATATCACTATTTGTTGGTGAAAAGGATAAATTATTCCTATAGCTAGCTAAGATAAACATATATAATCTATGGCAACGCTACTGTTAGTAAACAATTAGTATGTGATGAGAAACTTTTTTCTTTTCTATTAACGAATCTTTAGTTAGCAGGTCAAATAATATCCATTTCTTTTTTAACCAAAACATGTGCATTATGTTTTCTATGTTGACTATAGGTGCAAAATGAGATTTTGTTTTTTTTTTGTTTTTGGTCGATGAGTGCCTAATTCGAAGTGAAGATAAATATACATAATTCGTGGCAACATTGCTAATTAATTACTAGTCTGGGTTAATAGAGTTTTCTTACCACAATAAATACCTAATTGGCAAACATGTGATACCTTAAACATGATGTTATGTGTAGGGAAAAAAGAAAAGCAAGAGTACTAATTGCTCTATGTTATTCAACTTTTAGATGCTAGTTCTCGCGAATACTTCAAAGATAAAATTATTTAATTCAAAATTAATAATCAATGTCAATGTTTGTTACGACACTGTAACAATTTAGACAATTGAGGAACAATATTGTTCCAGTTACTCTAAATACAAATGAGCTTAATGTCATGAAATTTTAGATTAGGATGTAATAATGTCAAACTTATAAACTTTCACAAATAACCAATTCCAAATGTCAAAACCATAGTCTTGTGAAAATATATCCAAACATCAATACAATATGTTAAAATTAATTATGAATCCAAAATCAAGTTTTTTTAAAAATATCCAAACATCTATTATATATGTTAAAATTAATCATGAACATAGAATTATGGTTTTTTTTGAAAATATCCAAACACCTTTTATTATGTCAAAATCAATTATGAACCAAAAAATATAATTTGTAAAATAATTTATACAATTTTTGAATAAATTTTTAGAAATGTATAATTGAAAAATCAAATTGAAAAGCATGTAATAGTAAATTATGAGATAATTGTGGTTTTTGAGTTCATAATTAAATTTGCAATGTATGGGGTGTTTGGATATTTTTAAAAATCATAGTTTTGAATCCATAATTGATTTTGACATGTATAATATATGTTTGGATTTTTTTTGAAAATATAATTTTAGATTCATAATTAATTTTAATATATAACATGGGCGTTTGAATATATTTTTAAAAATTTTGGTTTTTTCAATTTTTCTTTTAAATTCTGATTAAAATTAATCTTATTAATTAATTTTATAAATATATTATATATCATGTAATAGAATCTTAAATCATTCATATTAATTAATTTTTTATAATCAATTTTACTAACTGAAATCCAAACACACCCGAACCCTCTCAAGAAATCTAATGAAGTAAAAAGCTTACGAGAATCTCCTCAGCCTTTAATATAATCTCTTCCAATAAACCATTGTTGAATTGATTACGAACAGAAAACAATATAATTGAGTGTTTTTGTAGAATCTCTTCCTGATGACAAACTGAGCCTTCATCATCATCGTCTCTTGATATCATAAAAAACAGAGCTATTTTCATATGTTTTCTCCGGTTGTGTGAAATGAAACGATCAATTGAGCCTTTATATCCCTCTGATATTATTTTAAAGACATGACAAATATGAATTTAGATTGATATCGAATTGAGAGAAAGAAAAACACAAAACGGGAGAAAGAAAACAAATAAACAAAGTTACAAATAGCAATGTAATAATTTATCATAAATTGATATAAGTGAGAAATAAAATTAACAGGACTTTCAAGAGTTATTGTTGAGAGACTCATGTTTAGTTTGAATGGAGGAAAAAGTGAGAAGAAAACAGAGATGATTAGTACAGTGAAGGATGACTGGACAAAATCTGCAGGCTGCAGCGATGCTGATTAGATCTCAACAAGCAAGAAATGGAGGAAGAGAGAGCTGCGACTGGCGAGGTACTTAGGGTTGAATCAATTTAGACTAGAGGCAATTCCGACTTTTCATGAGAAACTTAATTGCATGTGAGGCCTTAGGCCCTTGGTTCTACTGAACCAATTTAAATTTATTGGACATTAGATGCGATTTTCATGATTTTGAGGGCTTTAGGTGCAATTCTTCCTTATAAATATTGATAAGTAATACTCTATCCGTTTAAAAAATATAAACTATTTTTTTAAAAATTAAATGTTAAAAAAATATAAAATATTTTTAATCTTTTGAGGTGTAATCATTATCTTTTTTAAAAGTGTCTCTATTAATAATAACTTTATATTTATTGTAGGGTGTTTAATAGGAGTATAAAAAGATAAGGTTAGTTTGAAAATAGATAACTACTTTATTAGAGATAAGATTCGTTTAAAAATACTTTACATTTTTTAACAGAAGGAATAACAAAATATGAAAGCCTTACTTATAAATCATTGAAAATGACTTATAAGAAATAAATATCTACTCCTTGCGTATTATAACATAAGTTATTATTAATTAATTCATGTTTTTTAAAAAAAAGTTAAAATATTAATTTCATAAAAAATTTCACATCTTTTTAATCACACTTTTAGTGAAATAAATATAACATTTGATTTACTAAAAATACCCTCATTAATTATTGAGTATATTATAATAAGGTATAATTATATATATATAACCTACTCAATGTTTTATATTTTAAACCAAATGTTAGAAAATGAACTATATTGTGGTCAAATTTTAAGAAAAATATAAACATTTATTCCTTCCATTAAAAAATATGAAGCATTTTTAATTAAATCTCACCCTTAAAAAGTAGTCACCTACTTTCAAATTAACTTTATGTTTTTATATCTATCTCTATTAAACATTCTATGATAAATATATTATTAATATGGTCACTTTTTTAAAAAAATAATGATTATATTTGAAAGACCTTATATTTATATTTATGATTATATTTTTTTAAAAAATATCTTATATTTTTTAATATTAATTTTTTAAAAAATATTTTATATTTTTAAATGAAGTGAGTATCATTCACTGCCTTTTCTCTTTTTCTCTAGAATATTCAAGTCCAATGTACATCTTGATTTGGTGCATTCTTCCAAAGAAATGACACTTTCCATTTTATCATTAATTAGCATATCATATTTATTACTTTCATCCTGCATATTTTTTTATCAATAAAATAATAAAATAAAAATAGTCCTAAGATATATTTGTGGCGCACTTTTTTATCCATTTCTCGTCTGATACAATGAATAACAAGACTAATTGTTCTTGTTCATTTGGAGGAATGTGTTGATTTGAAGTGAAACTATAGACCTCAACAAACGGCTGTAGCTCTTTATAGCCCTTGATAAATTAATTAACAATTGAGATAAGGCCATTGCCCAATCAATCATGTTGTGACCCACCCAATAAATTTAAATTTCAAAGTTTAAAAAGATAGAAATAAAAAATAAAAAAATCATAATCCCAAAGAGCAACCTTTGTGCTTCATTTCCCCTTTGAACGCAATACTTTATCGAATTCCTCTATTCAACGCCTCTCCGTCGTCGTCTTCTTCTCTCAGATTCATCTCTCAGTAGTTAGTACTGCGAAATCAGAAGAATCATGACCACCTATGGCACCATCCCTACTTCGTCTTCCCCATCCACAAATCTCGAGTTCATCTCACGCGCCAAGCAAAGAATCAAAGCCGGTCTTGGAACTCGCCGCCCATGGAAGGTCATGTTCAATTTCCGATCCTTCGCCCTACCTGCCGGTTTCCCCGACGCAATTGCGCGCTTTCGAGTCAACATCGGTTACTTCCGTATGAACTACGCTATCGTCGTGCTCCTTATTCTCTTCCTCAGCCTCCTCTGGCACCCGATCTCCCTCATCGTCTTCGTTGTGCTCATAGCTCTTTGGCTGTTCCTCTATTTCCTCCGCGACGAGCCGCTGGTCATTGCCGGCCGTCTGATTGATGACCGTGTGGTCCTGATCGTTATGGCGGTGCTGACCGTCGTACTGCTGCTCTTGACCAACGTGACTCTCAATATAGTGGTGGCACTCTTGATCGGAGCGGGATTACTGGTGGCGCACGCGGCGTTGAGAAAGACCGATGATTTGTTCCTGGATGAAGAAGAAGCTTCTGGATTGATGCCTAATGTAGCTACTACTGGTGCTTCTTCTTGATTCTTCTGTTTAGTTTTTACTCTCTTCATTCCATTGTTAGTTGGTAATTTCAAGTTTGAAACTGCAGAATTGGATTTCCTTGTGAATTCTGATTTCTATTTTTGGAATGGGATTATGTGTAGAAATTGTTATGGGGTTGGGCAGTATGGGTGAATACTGAATAATGTGTTTCTTGCTGAGTAATTTTATTTTGCCCCCTCGTTTCTTTTTAATTGATAGATACTCGTAGTGCCATTTTTGTTTTTTTTGAAGCTTCTAGAAAGTCGAAATTAAAAATTCATCCAGATAACGTGGTACTTAATATCAAGTAAGATCCAATGTCTTGAAGAAAATGAAAATGCATTTGACATTTTTTTAAAAATTCTTCTAGTATATTGTATGTTTTTTGTTAAATGCAAAATATCCAAATAGTTCAAGAGTTGATAAACGGCAATTGCAATGTAATTGAAAGGGCTAAGGTGTAGATGTACCTCTAAACTTTGTTAGAGGATGTAATTGATATTTTAAAATTTTAAAAGTGAAATATTTTTTAAAATTTTTAAAACTAATGCAATGTTATGACTTTTTTGATTTTTTTATGAAATATAACTTTTTTCTTGTATGCTATAAACAGTAAGATAAATTATCTAAATGTTGCATTATGAAAAATATTTACTCAAATGCTATATTAAGAATCATATAGATTGAGAATGAGTTTATATGTGTGAGGAATTCATTTAAGTTAAAGATAATTTTGTAGTTAAAAATTATTTTTTTTATAAAAAGTAAATTGTTTATTTAGTAAATGAGTTCAGAATTGACAAGACATAATATTTTTTATTTTATTTTCTCTCAATTTATTTTATCAAGAGTTGAGTTATCTTATTCATAAATTTTTTAAATAGATCAAGCAATTGATGCAATGGCTATTTATTTATTTAACTATAAATTGAAAATAAAAATATAGGAGAATAAAAATTTTAAAATTTAATTAATCTCACCACTTGTCAATCAATGTTAGGGAACAATTAGTTTTGAAAAATATTATACTACTTTAAAAAGCACAGGGAACATTATACTTTTTAAAATTTTAAAATATCAATTGCATTTCTTAAAAAATTCAAGATAGATTTGCATTTTAATTCTAATTAGAATTGATGGAGTTGGGAGACTTCATGTAAGTTATGATTGTGTGTGGAGAAGGCACAGTTAAGGACCTTTTGTTACCTTTTTAACAATTTGGGACTTTGGAGTATATTGTTTTATTTCGAGCTAAAAATCCCCCCCCCCCCCCAAAAAACATGATATTGGCTATAGAGGTTTTGTTTGATTGCAATAATTTTTTTTTGGAGACCCTAGGCTAGTGGAAGGCCAACAAGATATCAAAATGTGTACATTATTTATTATTCATGACATAAATATAATGTATTATGAAGATGTTATAAGTGAATGTAATAAATGGTCCATGCTACACTGTCAATGAGACAATTTTTTATACGCTATCAATTTTTATAAGTTATAAATATTGATTAGAATAGTTGTAAGCAAGAATTTTAATCATAAATTAAGAATTAAATTTAGAATTTAAATATTTTATTTACATTTTAAACTCTTGAATTTGTAACTATATAAATTAATATATGCAAATTATATTTTCAAAAAAATTATTAAGAACCAAATTGTCATCAATTCTTTTTTTTTTCAAAACTTAAATGTTATCCTTTTCATGGACTTACCATGATATACTATACTTTCTCCATTAAAATATATAAAGCATTTTTTAATAGGTAAGATATTAAACAATGTAAAATATTTTTTTGTATTTTAAAATGTAATTAATGTTCTTTTTTTAAAGTGACTTTAATAAATAAATTATTTTATATTTATTTTAAGGTAAAACACCTTGTTAAATAAAAATAAATATGAAAAGGTGATGTTAATTTAATAATTAATTATTTTTTGAAGCTTATTTAATTAAAATATCTTATATTTATTGTAAGGGAGCGAGTATTGCCAATAACATTGCCCCAAAAAAGTTGCAACAATTCGTCTGCGATTAGCTTTCAACATCTTGCAGCTGAGTAAAAGTTTTGACATTTGGCAGCAGAATTCTATAATGTTTAACAATTTTGGCTCAATTATGTCATATTATATTACATGGTTTTTTTTTTTGGCCAGAAGATATTACATGTTTATATTATATATATGTGTGTGTGTGTGAATTTGAAATGATAATTTGACCTTGATTGAGTACTCTGAATTATTAAATTATAATTTTTTTATATATTTTGGATAATGGGTTTGATTTTTTAAAATAATCTCCTTTATCTTAGATTTTTAAAATATTCTAACAACTCATCACAGCACATGAGCGACAAAACATTATTGCTGAGATACAATTAGTGACACCCATGTTTCGCAATTCATTCACAAAATAGCTTGATATAAACATATAACACAGTTTTAAAAATAATTTTGAGAATATGTGAAATAAATACAAGAAACATCACACGGAACTCAAGGGGCTGCAGGAAGAGTTGTTAGAGTAAACGAACTCTACAAGAAGATAACATGAAGGTAACAATTGGCTTAAGGTCAGACATTTTTAATAATTGATAGTAATAGTAATATTAACATTAATAGTAATTGTTATAGTAATAGTAAAACTTATCAAGATCATATCTATCCATGTCCAAATGTCAAAAATAAGGTTTATAAATAAAATGGCCGGCGGGCATAAATATTTTTATAAACTCAATTTAAAAAACAAAAAAAAAACGCGTTAATTCATTATACATTGTTTTTATAGTCTTGATTAACGTGGTGTCCACTTTTTCCCCTTTTTCCCCAACTATTGACGTGCTCCTTCGTATTAATCTGGTTTATTAAAAAAAAAATTGCAAAGTTTTTTTTTTTGAAAATAGCAAAGAATTTTTAAATGAAAAAACGTATCTAAAATGTGAATGATTCCTTCAATCAGGCCAAAAAAAGAATGACTCCTTCAATTATATGGGTTAACAAAGTGAAGAAAAAGTTGCAATGCTTTGTAATGTCATCACCATCAATTGTAATCTTTTTTAAGGGGTCCATCTTTGATTAAGAATTGTATGCAGACAGGTAGCATGTGCCAATTTTCAAAATTTTTATGACCCAGGCATGTGATTTTTTATACACACACACACAGAGAATTGTTTATATGTTTAATAAAATTTTAAATAATTTCCAGGTAAAAAATTTAAAAATAAAAATATATTAATTTTTTAAAAAATTATTGTATAAAATAGTAAAACAAACTATCGATGAATAAAGTGTTCGTCACCAGTTTACGAAAAAAAGGGTTCGTCACCAACTTACAAATAATTTTTTTATTCTTTTATTTTAATACAAAATATTATTGGATAAACTGTAAGAACATCACATATATAAACATTATGATAACTTTTTATCTTTGGTTCAACTGATTGAGAAAGTTAAATCAACTTATCTAAAGTTTTTCAATTTAAAATATCCAATCATATTAAATAAATATGTTAAAAGCATTCTTGAAGTACCCACAAGAACATCATTGGTAATAATAATCTTACTTTTTGAGAGTTCAAATTAATTTGGGTAGAAGGTGGTCATATTAGGGTTTTTTTTTTTTTTTAAGTATCCACCTAATGTCATTTTTGCAGTGTGTTGTGGTATGGGTATCCAGGGTTGTACTCATTTTAATTGCCCGTATTTGTTTCAATCATGTCAAGATGAGTTTGTCATGGCCCAAAAAATCAAGATGGGATGTCTATGGAACGAGACAAGAAAGGGAATGGGATGAGACTCAGGATGCTCTTCAAGATGTCCCATCCTGTCCCAATATCATATATATTCCTTTTATTTTTATATATATATATATATATATATATGTTATTTTTATTGTTTATTTGCTTATATTTTTTGTTTATTTTTACTTTATTTAATTTTGCATTGCTCTGTGATATTTGGTCTGGTCAGGCAAGTCGTGAGATGTTTTTTCATAATTATTAATATTAATTTAAGAATAAAAATGCAAACCCAAATTACTATCATCTAACTAATCTAATTAGATTATTTTTCAAGTCTTTGCTTTGTTGTTATTGTTTAGTAATTTAAGTTTATAATGCGCTCTAATCAAATAGCTTGTACATGCACATGGGCTCTTGTATTTGGGTGACTCATATTATATCTATACGTTTGTGTTGAAGCTTAATGATTAATCATATATGTAAAAGTAATTTTTTTTATACGTGTTGATTGAGTAGTACTAATTATTTGAAGACACAAGTAGGGTAACTACCGCAAGTAGGGGTAGTTACCAGGATGTTTTAGCCCGACCCCGACTCCTACTGGAAGGGACAGACCCCGACTCCTACTGGAAGGGACAACTCTTAATAAATTTGAGTCTTGATAATTTTTTAGGATGAGATATATGATGGGGATGTCTAAAATTCATCCTTTCTTGTGAACACTCATGTGTTGGCTAGAGTGAGAGTTATATCTTTTAAAAACATGGCAAGTGGACTCCTCAATGGATCTCCTGGTCCGTTTAAATTGGGCCATTGTCTCCCTGGTATGGAGCCCCCAAGAACGCAAACATTCATCTAATCATTGCCTTCCTTGTGAAAACATCTTTTGAGTCTAACCATGCTCTATCGCTTGCATCTCTCAACCCTTGTTTCATTCGGCTTCTATTCTATCTACCTTTTTTTTTGCCCCCCGATAAAAGAATATTACCATAAAAAAGAAAGAGTATCAAACTAAAGCTTTAACAAAGAATAAAAAAATTAGAAAGTTTAGGAGTAATGTCACAGTATTATATTTAGATATATGAGCTGTCTTGAATAATTCCAAGAGAGTGAATATATGTTTAATAACTGAATTCTATAGTGGATTATGTAGTTCCTGTGCCCATTGTAAATGAGAATCAGGGATCCTAAGTCAGAAGTATCTCCCAAGTGTTTTATTGTGAAATTCAAATTCTTATCCATTTATAATATAGCTCAGATATAAGCATCTACAATTAAATAAGCCTACAAGCATAGCTGGCCATCTACCAAAATAGGTAAAGCGTAACTCCTCATGATCAAGATTGATATTTTATTTTTGACCAACATGATCAAGATTGATATTGACATCACAGAACTTGCCTTCTTGTTTATGCCATCTTCATGTTATCAAGTTTTAAAATTTAAGCCTAGTTTCTCATGCT